TAATAATTAAATAGTAGATATCACAATTATAAAGCTATTTATGAGTAATTAATTAGTTATCATCAGGTTGCTACCTGCTAATTATAACATATATAAATTATAATATTAAGTTAATAAATAAGTTAATAAATTAGAGATAAAAGATTTTGTAACTTAAAAATGGTCTATTATATTCTTTAATAACCAGAATACAAATAATAAAAATATTGCATGTTTCCGCACATCGGACAATATATTTAGCAATATCAAAATTATTAAAAAATATAACATCTTTAAATATGCGTTTGATATAAATATTTTGTATGTTTTATTTATATTAATATACATTATATAAACATGTCAATTCGTATATATTCCAATTGCAAGATATTTTTATATTTAGTAAATATTAATTTCATAAATAATTTCTTGATATATAAAAATTCGACACTTGTTTATATACATTTTATGTACTTGGTCATTTATATTTATATTGTTTTTATCAACGACTGTTTTTTGTACATTAAATTGCACAATACTGAATAAAAAATATTAAGAACTTCACAAATTATTAAAACTTGTGTTTTTTTTTTATTAAAGAATACCTCTTTTCTACAAAATAATATTGCAGAATTAATTACCGATTAATCTTAAATTATACTAATATAAAATTTACCATAATTATACTAATTAAATGTAATATAAGTATATTCATCTTATTGTTAGTTTGTTGCAAGTTAGGATTTATACAAAGTAAAAAAATTTTTTTAAGTATATATTGCGAATGACATTTACATTTTATATATGCGAATTAAAAGAATTCTAAATAGCGTTGATTATATAGACATTAATATTACATAATTACATAAGTTTTTGGCAGCTAGATGTGCGTGAATATTATATCTGTTTTTGAATAGTTTATAATTTAGCATTTGTACACGATTTGATGAGTATCCAAAAATAAATAACTTTGTGCGACACTGACAGTCAATAAGATTGAGGTGAGTGGACAAATTTGTGTTCTACAAGAGAGAAAGAAAGAAAGAGAGAGAAGAATATCTCGTTTATATTTTTCAGAAGCCAATATTTGTCATTGTCGTGTCGTAAATAGAAGAAGATAGACTACAACGATTTAGAAGACAATCTGGTAAAAGCAACAAATTAATATTATAAAATTAATTATTAGCATCTTAGTATATTGCTTCATATGTCAAGTCTTTCGTTAGTATCTGGTTTTTTTACGATTATGTTATATTTGTCCTGAATTTGGGTACATTAAAATCACTAGTATAGATTTATCGCGATTTTTTGTACTATCGACTATGTGCTTCAGGTTTTAAAGACTCGCCGACATCGACATTTGCAATTTATATACTAGTTGTCATTTACATTAATTCTGTATGCAATATTTTGTTACCGCAGTTTCACATTACTGTCTATTATATTTAAATATTGTCAAACAAATACTATATTAAGATTGGTCAGAAAATAGAATTTATTATCTTTGTAGAATACAATCAAAATTTTAATTTATTTCACATTAATTAACAGTTCTTATTGTAATAATTGTTTGCAAAATTACTGAGCGGTAATCCTATTTTTGAATTATTGATTTATTCGCAAAAAAAATTTTGACTTTGTCGAGAACAAATAAGGAAACATTGAAATCTTTTTGCTATCATCTTTTATGGCTATTATATTTGTTATGCTCTCTTATCAAGCATCGATAACAAATATAAATATATTATCATTCGCTCACCTTGATTACATCTTGATTTTACACACATCTTAAAGAAAAGAAAGTGTATTATTAAAATTATTGAAATAACTTATTAAAATTATTATTAATTTTTAAATATGTATATACATATATTAAATCTTATAAATTTGTTATTACACGTAATATGGCAATTATCTACGCTCCAATCAAAAATTTATTACACATATGGCAAAATAATACACATTATTAATTAAAACGAGATTGTATTGTCCTTTTCACTTTAATGTTCTCGATCACTGTTTTTTTTTAACTATTTTTCGTATATTTTCGAATTTTATTGGAATTTAAGTAGGAAATCTCTAAATAAGTATTCATAACGTGTTTTACTAGATTAATACGAATCTTAAGGCAAACGTTTTGTTGGTTATATTCGTTGTAGCTAGTATTGCTAGTATTAAAACTGGTATTACTTTTATCCTATTTATATCAGGTAAAATATTATATATATATAATTTATATGGTAATATAAATTCTTAATAAATTAATTAATTCAACGATTAATTATTATAAAAAAAATTAATGCATCAATAACAAATTTTTTTTTAACAGTATGTTATTAATTTTATAACAAATTTTTGTAGAGATATTGAGACAAAAGAATGAGTAATTCTGATAAATTAATAACAATAGTTATCAATTTATGTATTGGATTATTAATAGGAATTATTTTTTAGTTTTTATAGTATTAAATGGTACCAATTAGTAAGACACATACTAAATTTGATTCAAGTAGTGATAGTCAGGACACTGAATGGAAAGATGATGTGAAAAGTGTGCTAATAGAACGTTCATTCTGGATGGATAATCAAGAAGAAGTAGTATATATATTATGTTTTCTTTTGGGGTGCGTGATACTTCATTTTATTGTTGTAAGGTAAACCAATATTTGATGTATCAATATACATAATTAACTAATACGCAGAGAAGCGTGTGCTAGTGATTGCACAACTGAACATCGATCGCTAACATGAAATATACTAATATGCATAGGAAATAACTCTATATACAATATATATATATATATATGCATAATTAATTTATATATAAATAATTCATAATTAAGAATTTACTTAGGGAAAAACTTATATTTTAGAGAAAATGAAGAAAGTTTTTATCATATTTATATATTATCTTTACTTTTACTAATTTTATAATTCAAAAGAAATAACTCTATATATACATATATACAAGAGAAATAACTGTATATATGTATATATATGTACGTACGTACGTGCGCATGTGCGTAGAAGAATAGTTATTTTGGTTTAAACTATTAATAACAACAAATTTATATTTTCTCGATGATAATAAAATTAAAACAATCTTTAATTTTTTAAATACAAAATGAAATACTAAATGAAAAATACTAAATGACGTGTTTTATCATAAAAATTCTGGAAAAGATTAAGATAAATTTAATATGTTTAATCTTATATTTCTCTTATTGTCATGATTATTACTTTTAATATAAAAAGAATTTTGTTCATTTTTTTATAAATATTGTCATTATCAGATACAATTTTGTACATTCTTTACCTATTTTTGATTATAACAGATGTGGTATTATACATGGCCATAACTTAATAATCCGATTTCCTTGGTTTTTTCGGTTTTTTTTCGACAATCGTGTTGAGCTAAATCCTGTCCCTAGAGACAATAATCGTCAGCAAATCCGTTATCGGAATAATAGAATTTATTGGAATAACGATGCATTGCAATACGTAAGCAAAATATAAACAGTAAAGTATACTCGCAGAGTTTACCTCAAATCGGTACATACTAGAAATAAGCATAATATAAGGATACAAATGAATTCCGATATAAATATAAGATGTTTCAAAAATAAATGGCCAAACTTTAAAAATATATACTATTTATTATACGGATAAGAAAAATTTGTATAAACATGATCTCAGAAACGCTTTCGCTTCAAATTATAAACACGTTTTGTTTACGATAGAGTTTGACAAGAACATTTTGTTAAAGAAAAGTGCTAAAAATAATTTCTTTTTCTTAGGAAACGTTTATCTCCTATCAATGTCTCTTCGATTGTCGAAGATGTTTAAAAATTCCTAGAATATTTCAGATTTTATAACACGAAGCAATAATATTCAATTTCAAAATTTCTTTTCAAATACCAATAAAATCGCAAAACAAGCATTAACAATAGCCTTCAGAAATCTCTAAATAAAAATCTAAAAATTTCAAATCGTTCGATTTAAATGGATAAATAAAAGAAATTCATTTCCAGCAATTCTTTTTTTACCTATTTTTGTCAGACTCTGTCGTAAAAGTGGTTATAATTTGGAAAGAAAGCTGTTTTGGATTTATATTTATATTACTTTTCAAACTTGATAGTAAATAGTATACGCTTCCAATCTTATTTTCTATATATCGTTATTAATTGTTTATGTATAGTTATTATTATATTAATAATATTAATAATATTAATATCTCCAATTTTGCAGCCATTAGAAGACGAACTTTAATTGGAAAAGATAATATTGATGTTTTGCACATTGCCGCGAAGATTCACTTGTCTGTGATAAATCTTAATAAGATCTCATAAATCTATTATGAAACCCGATTCTTAATTTCAAGTCGTTTAAACTACGCATAGTTATTATGCATAATTAGTTTTTAAGATAAAGTATTTTTTAATAAATATATAATGTATTAACGAATAGAAAAATTATTGCAAATATAAATAATTTTAACTTCAAATCAGTTTTTATATGAAATTTAAACCCATTAACATATAAATACAAATTTTAAAAATTTTAGCACATTAACACAACTAACTTTATACTTATTTAAAAAAAAATATTAATATATTTGAAAGTATGGTATACATCTATATATAAGTTTTTAGATAATATAAACTAGAATACGAAGTTAAATTTAAGAAGAGCAATATATTTGAATAATATGAATGTATATCAAATAAATAAATATATATATATTTTAATAATATAAAATAGTATTTGAAGTTAAAATTTAAGAGAATGAAATATTTACAAAAACATCATAAGCATTTCTACACATGTTATGTTTAGAATAAAATTATTTTTATATATATATTTACTACTAAAAGAAAATTATTTGTCACACTGGTTGATAATCGCTAATAAATTAAAAAATTAATATAATTTGAAGTGATTATATTTGCATGCGTTTTTCTTTTTAAAGCTCAAACATTTATGGTATAATATTTTAAACTTATTATAGATTACAAGCTTTATAATCTTTTTATAGGATTAATTATAATCGAAAATCTTTTTATGAAAATACCGTAGTCACAACGGTTTTGTTACAAATAACGATATTAGCACATAATTCGGGCTTTCAGGTTTGTAATTGTGCTTAAATATATCCAGTTTATATGTTATTTGTTTTTTAATATCGCAAAGTGATATTGATTATTAGTCAACTAATTTTAACTGTGATTCTTTTTGTGTAAACATTACATATATTATAGCAATTAATTGATATTAATAAAATAATTACTAATAATAGATTTCAGCTGTTACACGCAAATTATTACATACATTTTTTTAATGGAAATTAAAAGTGTATATTAATCATTGTACTTAAAATTAATTTACTTAAAATTACTAAAACTAATATTATTTCAAAATCAAAAATAAACTCTGTCTTTAATTTAGAACTAGATTATTAATCAATTAGTTTACTTATATAATGTAAAGCAAATTAATTAATTAAAACTTGTGCTTTTTTTATTAATAAATATCTTTTTTATAAAATAATACTGCAGAATTAATTACCGATTAACCTTGGATTATACCAATATAAAATATACTATAATTATACTAATTAAATGTAATATAAATATATTTGTCTTATTGTTAATCTGTTGCACGCAAGTTAAGATTTATACAAAGTAAAAAAATTTTTTTAAATATATATCGCGAATGACATTTACATTTTATAATTGCTAATTAAAAGAATCCTAAATAGCGTTGATTAGACATTAATATTATACATATAATTACATAAGTTTTTGGCAGTTAGATATGCGTGAATATTATATTTGTTTTTGAATAATTTATAATTTGGCATTTGTTTACAATTTGATAAGTGTCTAAAAATAAACAACTTTATGCGACATTGGCAGCCAATAAAATTCAGGCGAATGGACCAATTGACAAGAAAGTAAAAGAAAGAAAGAAAAGGAGAGAATATCTCGTTTATATTTTTCAGAAACCAATATTTGTCATTGTCGTGTCGTGAATAGAAGAAGTAAACTACAACGACTTGGATCACGATCTGGTAAAAGCAATAAATTAATATTATAAAATTAATTATTGGCTTGTTAATATATTCTTGTTAATATATCTTGTTAATATATTGTTTCACATGTCAAGTCTTTCGTTAATATCTTGCCTTTGCAATTATTTTAATATTTGTTTTAAATTTTGGCATATTAAAATCGCACCAGTATAGATTTATTGCGATTTTTTTGTGTACTGTCGACTTTATCCTTGAAGTTTTGAAGACTAGCCGACATCAACATTTGCAATTGGTATATTCTTTAATTGTCATTTACATTTTTGGAATATGCAATACTTTGTCATTGCGGTTTTATATTACTACTCTCTTTATTATGTTTAAATATTGTCGAACATATTCGTATACAAGTCAACACAAGTCAAGATTTGTCAAAGAATAAAATTAATTATCTTTGCAGAATATAATTAACGTTTTGATTTATGTCACATTAATTAACAGTTCTCATTGTAATAATTGTTTATAAGATTACTGAGTGTCAATCTTATCTTTTAATTATTGATTTATTCGCGAGAAAAATTCTAGCTTGATCAAGAACAAATAGGAAAATAATGAAAATTATTTCAATCCTAAACTCATAAGCATCGATAGAAATATAAACATTTTGTTCTTCGCGCAATTTCAGATATAATTAGAAAGAAAGTTTATATTAGTATTATTTTCAAATATTTTAATTCTTTTACTCTCTTTTAGCGATATGCTATTTTCTTAATAATTATGACAATTATCTACGTTATTAAACGTTAATTAAAAATTTATTATAATAATACCGGACAATAGTACATTTTATTAATTACAAGTACAACTTGTATATTTTTCTTTTCAATATCTTTGATTTTATAGTTTCTTTTACATATCTTTTTATATATCTTATTATTCTTATTATTTTTTCTTACTATCATATACCTCTCAATTCAACAATTGATCGTTAAATCTGTCTTCTCTATTTTGTTTAAACAATAAACCTAGTTTACTGATAATATATGTGTACGTACATGAATGTGTAAATCTTTACTATTAATTAGAAAACATTAATCTATTAGCAATAAATTTTTTTGTTAACAGAAATTATTTAATTTATGTGAGACGAAAAACAATAATGTTGATAAATTGATAACAATTATTAATAATTAATTAATTATCAATTATAAATTGGGATATTAACAAGAATTATTTTTTTTAGGTTTTATAGTATTATTACCATCAGTAATACACATACTAAATTCGATACGGAAAATATTGAAACAATAAATCGAAAGATAATAGAATAAATTTAATGATGAGATTAGACGGGGACTCTATTATAATCTGGATAAAAAATAAAATAATTGATATATTTATTCTAATTTTGACTATTTTATTTTTTGGCTTGTTAATTATTTATCTTGTCGGCAGGTAAATCAACATTTCCAATATTACTCTTTATACTTTTGTATTTAATTAATTTATACATACAAATCATTTATAGATCAACTCAAGTTTTAATTAAGAAGGAACTGTAAATATTGGATAAATTACAAGTTTTTAATTGCACTTAATATATTCTTACTTATTAATTTTATTACTGGAGAAATAAATTATTAGAAAGAGATATTGTAAATCTAATAATTCAGAGTAATTTAACAAATTTTTAATAAAAATTTATTAATATTAAAATATAAATATATTATTATATGAATAAACAAAATTATATAAACGTGTAATATATGCATATATGTATAATACATAATACATAAACACGTAATAACGTATGTGCGTAAATATATACATGAATGTATACAACGTACATGTATATTAATACAGTATAAGAGGAAGTTATTTTGATGTAAACAAACAATATTAATAATTGCAGGTTTCTTTCTTACTTTTTCGATATTACAATTAAAATAATTTGTAATTTTTAAAATGTAATATGTTATTTTATTATAAAAGTTCTGGAAATGATGAAGATATAAATATATCGTTTTGCATTTTATACTTACCTTATTGCAATATGTAATAATTACTAATTATTATGATAATCTTGTACAGTTAGTTATATTGTCATTATTGTAATTTTATGATTTTTGTGATTTTTATGATTTGTGATTGTAACAGGAACGTTTTTATTGAAGGATTTTTCAAAATCTTATTAAATTGGATCCATGGCATTCGTTAAATCTTTATATTGCCTAGAAACATTCGCAAAGTTCATGGTTAGCGAGATAATAGAATTCCCGTGAAGACGTATTTTCAGTGCATCATGTAAGTATAAAATATGGAAATTATACACAGAATTTATTTTAAATTGTAGAATTGTGTAGAATTGAAACATTTTTTGAAAATTTACTAAAAAAGAAAACATAATATAAGCATACAAACAAATACAAATATAATCATACAGGAAAGAGAAAAAGCAAATAATAACAAAGATTTTTGTTTTTTAGGATGAATAAATAGAAAGAATCTCTACTATTCCATAAAATAATTTTTTTTTACTAAAAAATCTCTAGAGAAAATCTCGGAAATATGTGAATTTACTAATATAATGAAAATGTATGGACTAACTAAATTACGAATAAGCCTAACAAAACGAATGATGAGTGATTTGGGATTTAGAACATATAATACAAGAGTAAAAGGTAAAAGATTAATCTTTTTAAAACTAAATTAAATGTAGAGTAATCCCTCTTATACAGAAATGAAGAGAAAAGAATATAAGACAAAATTAATGAAAAAAAAATATATAAGAAATATAAGTATTGAAAAATAGATCTCTTTCTCTCTCTTTCTCTTTCTCCCAAAAATGTTACATGTTGCATTTAAGCATAAATTTGTTGAGGTAGACATGTGTGCACAGTCTGTAACTAGATTAGAAAAAATTTCTTTGTTTGACATCACTGCATTAGATTTGAATATTTCAAACCAGAAACTGAGATTGAAAGTAATTTTTGGATGAACGTCGTTTCTCGCTTGAGTTATGAACGAATGAGTAATTATACATGTAGATTGTTAATATAATTTAATGTATGTATTTTTAAATTTGTTTTGTAGTTTGAATTATTATATGTGTATTTTAATTTATTTTATAACACAAATTCGATTGAAAAATATAATAGAACGATTGAATGCCGTATACGTTATGTAAAAATCAATAAAAATAATTTTATTTTTGAAATAATGAATTTAGATCTCAATTATAACTAACTTATTGTTCTCAATTTTAACATGTTGATTTCTCATTTTATCTATTACATATATACTTGTTATCGACATATCGGTAATTATGTACATTAACGAGGATCTTAATATATGTTAGAGAAATGCGTGGGTATTGATTAACTTTTCGCTTACTTTTTAATCGGCGGTACTTATTGGTATAGTTTTTAAGATATTTACATAAATGATAAAAATACAAAACGTGAGAGGCTTTATATGGCAATTCTTCATATCAAATGAGATTTATTTGGCGCTTTTAATGCAAAGCGAAATATAACAAAATATAATTATACGATAGGCTTGTAACTTTTACAAGATTCATCTCCCATCGCCCAGTGTTTTCCATGCAAAACGATAATAGCAAGATCTCACTTCGTAAAACGTTGCAAACTTACTGTATGTGAAACTTCGCAATTATGGATTTCGTTTCTCGTATCAAAAGCATCGGGCGATGTAAAATGGACCTCTCTTCTCGCGGAAAGTTACAAACTCACGTGAGAACTGTACTATTATAGATCTCGTTTCACATCGAAAGCATTAGTCGATATGAAGTAAATTTTGCTTCGCGTGGAAAGTTGCAAACCCATGTAGAATCGTGTAATTATAGATTTCGTTTCGCACTAAAAGACACTAATGAATCGGAGGTGAATCTCATTTCACGGAAAGCTGCAAATTAATTTCGAGCCTCTCTTCTACGTGCACACATTTACATGAACAATTAAGTACATAAATATCTCAAAAATTTTACAAGACCGACAATTTAAAAAAACATAAATATAATAATCATTATCAAAAATTAATAATAACAAATTAATATTAATATTAATCATTTTTATCTTTACAATATATATATATATATATCAAGTTCAAAGGCATCAGAGATGTGTTTGTTAATAAATAATGCATAATCACAGATATTTTCAAAATTCCAAAAATTTTTTTTGTTTCCCGTTATTGTAGAATAAAACTAAACTTCAACTTCTTACCTTTTTTTATTTTGTTCTTCTTTGCCTCATTCAGAAAAACTGTCGCAGCTCCTCATAATTGCTTGAAACTATAATTAATTTTATTCTACTTTCTCTCATTATCTTGTTTATGTTATCATTAACGAGGAAAAGTTGCGAAACCATATGATAAAATTACTTATCTTTATATTCTTTTTCTCAATATTAACATATACAAATAATTTTTTTTTCATTGTCTTTTTCATATCCAGCTATTTTTCGATTGATACTTTTTGCTAAGTATGCTTTTTCTAAATTTTTATTATAATTTGAACAAAGTCAACTTTTTTAACAGCTTTAATTGCTTGCAACTTTTGATAAAATTACAATTTTTTTAAACAAAACGACTAAATAACTTACTTATTTCTGAATAGAAAAAAAGATATAATTAATATAAAAGATAAAAGATAATAATCGTACAAATGGTTTCCGAGAAAAAATGCATAAGATCAAAAATCATGATTTTATAGAAAAGCGTTTCCAAGAATGAAGTTCGGTAAGACATCTCAAATATAATATATATATATA